ACTCCCACCAGGTCACATGGCCGGCAAGCCACTCCCACAAAGGAGGCCACACCCACAGAGTAGGTTCGAAAATTTTTTGAAACCCACCACTGAATGAACTGTTGAGTTGAGGACCCACCTGCATTTCATTTGGGCTTATACATTGACCATTGGGTTGTTAGCTAGAATTGCTGGTTTGGCATGCAGTTCGGGCCAATGGCAGTTTATCCGATAAACCATTATTATTGAGGACATGTTTGAATCGGAGCTCACTTGGTTTCTTTCCGTCTGGTGTCTCCGCAGGAGAGTCGGGACAAACTCTTCCTCATCCAGCAGTTGACTAAAGCCCAGATGCTTCGCGGGGACTTTTTCAATCCCCTTGAAGGGAACATGAAGTCCAAGCAAGGAGGGGCTGGCTTCAGCAGATAACTGGACTCTCCCGCCATCGCAAACTGGGACGGACACGTTCAGCTTGCTGTAGACGGAGGGTTTTCTGCGGCGCTGGCTTCATTCGTGTCCAGGGTGATCGCACCGCACAAGAGCAACGACAAACTCTTCCTAAACCAAGAGGAGGCTGGATTCAATGGAGATGGGGGTGGATGAGGATGAATTGTATTGCAACCCAAACTATGTAACTCACATGGATGTGCACAGCATCAGGACTAGGGGTGGGATTCAGACGGTTCAGACCGGTTGAGGGGGAATCAGATGTTAATTTTAATCCGGTAGTTCAAAGGGCTGGCTGAACCTGCCCACCCCATGCCATCCTACTCCGCCCCTCCCAGGAGTCTCCCCGTGAGCCGTTCATGCCAGGTAATTGCAAGGCTCTGGGAGGGCGAAAAATGGGCTTACCGAAAGTCCAGAAACGGGCCCATTTCTAGCCCCCCGGATCCTGAGGGAGGCCGTTTTCGCCCTTCCAGAGGCTCAAGAAAGACCTTCAAAGCCAGAGGCGAGGGCGTTTCTACCCTAATGGCCCCCGATTGTGGTGCAGGACGCTGTGCGCCCATGCGTTATTGGCCTAGTTGCTTTAAAAAAAGATAAGGAATGCGGGCAGGCGGGTGGGCCAAACGGTGGCCGCTGCTCACGGCTACTACCAAGCTGTACTTCCCAGAACCCACCACTATCTTTAGCATTACATTTCTTAGAGAAACAGTCATTTCCAGATTTATGGCCATAGCCTTTTCCTGTTGTTTTTTTTATTATTGTTTGACGGAGATAAAGTTTTATGGAGCTAGGGACCATTCAAAACCTAATCAGTATAAAGAGAGTCAAAAGGTTAAAGATTGCTGCTGAACAATCACAGTTGTTGGAATTTCCAAGCTGCCAGATTCCCTGGCCTTGTGTACAAACCACTTCGATCAATGCACACCCAATCTTAAGGCGGAAGAGCTGAGGATTTAATGACCGGGGAGCGGTCTGAAAGCTGCTTCAGCAACTTGACCGCGTAACTATTGTTATAGAACCATAGAAGTAATACCGGCAGTCCGTGTTTAGCAGCTGCCTCCTTGAGCGTCTGTTTGCAGTTACGATGGTGATGAAAAAGTAACTGTAGGACCAAATTTGTGAGCCTCGCGGGTCGCAAAAGGAAAGCTGAAGTTGAGATCAGAAGCACAATGGCAGTTTCACTTAGTGATTGCCTCACTTAACTTCTGGTGGTCGCTAAATGAGGACAACCAGTACTTATTTGGGGGAAGAAGACGGACATCTGGCTTAACGTTATAAACTTGAAATGTCACGTCTGCATTTAAGAACGGTGCCTGTTGCAGTTTCACTTAGTGATTGCCTCACTTAACTTCTGGTGGTCGCTAAATGAGGACAACCAGTACTTATTTGGGGGAAGAAGACAGACATCTGGCTTAACGTTATAAACTTGAAATGTCACATGTCTGCATTTAAGAACGGTGCCTGTTACAAGGGTATGTTACAAGACTGGTCCCTCAATGTTTTATAGAAAACATTTGTAAAACTAAACAAGGATGTGAATACAATAAACATACAATGAAAACTTTGCAGAAATGACATGCTTTTATTTGTGATCAGTTTTTTTAAAAAAATGAAGAAAATACATTTTATAAGAAAAGATATTCAAAATGCCTTCATCGGAATAAAATCATTGCCATGTCGTAGCATCATTGTCAAGTTACATAGTTGGCACGTAGTATTATTATACCTGCAATCAATTCCCGTCATTCTAGTTAGTCCGATATTTGGCTAAAAAAAATGGGGAAAGCATCATAAAAATATAGTACTGATGATTTGACCGCTGTGAACGTTTGAAATTGTGTTAAGTTGGATTAAGTTGAGTGATTAAAATGAAGCAGCAGCCATAACAACACAATTAAGACACAACTCAGTTTTAAAAGATGCTGTTCTCGGTTTGGAGGTGTGCGCTCATAAAATTTGGGGAAACAGAAAAATAAATTCCTAGTCTGGAAAAGATGGCCTCGTTTTCATGATCAGTATTGTTCCAGAAAAGAAGCACATTTAGAAGTACTAGTTCTAACTTTATTTTTAAGGTTACATAAATGCAGAATTTTAAAATGAGCATAATGATTAAGAGCAGTGGAAGCTACTATCTAACAGATCTAGAAGGGGAGAAGTCTAGAGATCTGCTATTAATCATCTAATGGTCTGTCAAATTGTTGTAAAATCCTTGAGCAAATTGAGATTATTACAAAATTATTATAAAATTGTGGAACGCTAATCATTATAAAGCAGCACTGCATTCTTAGAAACTCCTGGAGCATCAAATGAAATGCAAAGCAGTCATTGGCAAGGAAAATTTAACAAAAAAAAATTTTTACTTCTGTTTTTCATACTGATGGGACACCTCCTGCGGGATGGTGCCATTTTCAGGAGCCTTCAGAAGTTTTTGAAGAAATGTTTCCATCTTGGGATTGACATCCTCCTTCAGTGTAATGTTTTCACCCTACAATAGAAGAAATTTTTGAAGAGATACATCAAAATTGAGGTTTTTTTACATCGTCTGCAAAATTAAAGCGAAAATATGTCCTTCCAGTGGAACGGTATTTTTGTTGTTTAATGAATCCATGATCCCTTGCGGGGTGGAGTCGGGGCAACTGAATGGAGCTAGCAGAGTGTTTACTGGCCGGATGCCTTCCTGTCACCAATGTGGAGTTTTGCTCGGCAGATATACTCATTGTGCCCAGAAAGAGAAATATCTGCCTCTAACTAGGATCGAACTCACAACCTCCTGGTTGTGATGCGACAGCTCCACCTCTAGGCCACGGCACCACTCCCTTCCAATGAATGGTATGCAAGTATGTAAATATTTATTATAGTTTCTTCAACAAATAACTTGTTGATAGACAATTGGGCTCCTCAAGAGACTTTTTATCATTCCGCTTGCTATGGTCTAGCCCACTATTTCTCATTGTTGGCAACTTTAAAGATGGGAGTGGACTTCCGGCTCCCAGAATTCCCCAGCCAGCAAGGCTGGATGTGATAGAATCCGGTGCTGGTTTAGAGGAAAGAAGGGCTCTTTCTCCAAGAAGTAAAAGACAAATCAACCTTGAGTCTGGTTGGTATGCAGAAAGAGGCTCAGAAGAGATCCTCCCTAAAACCTTCCCAAAATTTAACCGATCCTTATGCAGAGTGTGCTTTACTCTGGCAAGATCCTGTCTACAGGCAAACAGCAGTAGCACTTATATATCGCTTCACAGTGCTTTTACTGCCCTCTCTAAGCGGTTTGCCACCCAACAATTTGGATCCTCATTTTACCAACCTCAGAAGGATGGAAGGCTGAGTCAACCTTGAGCCTGGTGAGATTTCAACTACCAAATTGCAGGCAGCCGGCAGGCAGCAGAGGAAGCCTGCAATACTACACTCTAAGCAGTGTGCCACCATGGCTCATAAAGAAACTACTAGTAGTAACGAAACTATTCTGAGTAACTCATCATGTCTTTCTTGGTTCCCTATACCTAACACTGGCTTGGGAATTCTGGCACCTAGCTTAAAAATGGCCAAGATTAACAAATGCTGGGTTAGCTCAAATCTTTCTGTAAAGCATAAAGCTGGAAAGGGAATGCCAAGTCAACTCTCATGTCCTTTGAAATAATGGAAACTACGGGCCAGCTGTTTGGAATGCAACAGTTTATAAATATAACAGGCTAACACCCAGAATCGGCAACCAAACTGCACAGAAAAGCTCGGGTTTCAAACACTTTACCATCTGCTCGTAGGACCAGCCGGACGATCTGGCACTGCTCGAGTGAGACGAGTTGGTGAACTCGTCGTCGGATTGCTCCCCGTCCAAACTCTTCAAAAGCGCTGCAGTTTTCCCAGGAAATCCGATCCCTTGCCCTTCCTCGATTTCACACACGCAGTAACTTAGCAGTTCTGAACAACGGCAACCTGCTGGAGACCTGGGCGGGATACAGATCGCCTCTCGTTTACAGGACTCCGATTCTAACACGCGTTCTTGACTTGGCGAGCTATCGACGTGATCCTCTCCCGCGCGGACATCTCTGAGCTCCTTCGGAGAGGATGACCGGTTGGATTCGCTTCTGGTCTGATCGGTGGGTGTTTCTCGAGTCATTTCCTGGCAAAGCTTGTGCAGAAAAGGTGGCCCTTGTTGGACTGTAGAAACACAATCGCCATTGCGTCTTTCTGCGAGCACACCTTTCTCTCTGGAAGGCGCAGCGGCGTCATCACTGTTGCCATCAGAGCCTCTTACTCCATCCCTCTCCAAGCCAAGAGATTCCCAATTTGCAAAGTTGACCTGATGGCATTTGGAAGTGGTTCGGGGGAGTGCAGCGCTGCCTTTAGGCCCGTTCCTTTGGGCACCTTTCACAAGCTTTCCTCTGGGGTCGTTAGGGTGGGTTTTAGGATCGGTGACCCTTTTCAGGACAGAAGACCTGGACATCGTTTCGGAACTGAAATGGTTTCTGATCTTTTTGCCGGTGGTTGGACGCTGGCTGCCGTAAATCTCAGCTGCTGATGTGACAGAGGGGCGAGCGCAGTTTCCTTTCGACGCTTTCCGCTCTTTGCTTTTCAAGACGATCGAGCGTTGAGGCCGATCTTCGTGGGCTTTGGATCCAAGTGTCTGGCTTGGTCCTGCAGCCAGAGGCTTTCTAGGTGGATAGTTCTTGCGTGAAACACCTTCACCAGGTTTGGAAGAGGACTCCTGTCTTCTGATTTTAAATGGTGCGTAAGAATGCATGCCAACGTTATCTGTACCTTTCGAAGAGCTCTTCTGCTGAATATTCCAAGCAGCCCCAGAAGAAATTCTCTTCGATTTAACAGGAGAGGTACTGGAAACATTTGAAGCTTTGGCCTTTCTTTTTATCTCTTTATCATTTTGTCTTGTTGGGCTTCGTTGGCCTCTGAAAGACCAAAACATGATAGCCATCAACTTGAGCTTTCGGTGTCTGTTAAATCAGATGGTCCGTTAAATAGCAAATGGGATTTTATCCATGTGCAAAATGGGAAATGGAATGTTTTTATTGTGTCTCAAGTCCACTAAACCCAAATCCAGTAAATTGAGAGATTACAGCATGCTCTTCCCATCTAAAACAAGATGCCATCAACCACAATACACCTGAGCTTTCGTACCTTTTTGTCTGATTCTCATGAAAAAGGGTGGTGGAAACATCCTTCTGGTGACCATCGCTGAAACTCTTCACACTTTTCTTCTCTCTTCTCTTATGTTCTTGAGTTTTTTCCTTTTCTTCAGGAGACATTTTCGAAGTCTAAAAAAAAAAAGAATCAACAGAAATAAAACCCTTTCTCAAGAAATTTCATATGATATATACATCCACAAATCTACCAAGGAGCTGACAGCACGACAGAAATACTGTATCCTTCTTAAAATACAAACTCTGACTCATTTCAATCAAGAACATGATTCGGTGCCTCCCGATCATAAATGGTCCCCAGGATGCTGAAAGTTGGCTTTCAGCCACAGGTAGGCAGCCTCTTCTGGTTTACAACATTTATTGAGTAATTACAATCAATTACTCAGAGAGGTTTACTATTCATCAGGAAAAAGGCCATTCCTGCTTTCCAGTTTACTCTCACAAGAACTTAATTACTGGGGGGGGGGGGGAGTTCAAATTCAGCCCTCAAGTCTTACATTTATACAGTAGAACAAACTTGACAACTTTAAGACTTGTGGACTTCAACTTCCAGAATTCTCCAGCCAGCATAGTTGGCTGGAGAATTTTGGGAGTTGAAGTCCACAAGTTTTAAAGTTTCCAATTTTGAAGAACCGAGGCGGCGCAGTGGTTAGGGCGCAGTACTGCAGGCCACTTCAGCTGACTGTTATCTGCAGTTCAGCGGTTCAAATCTCACCAGCTCAAGGTTGACTCAGCCTTCCATCCTTCCGAGGTGGGTAAAATGAGGACCCGGACTGTGGGGGCAATGTGCTGACTCTGTAAACCGCTTAGAGAGGGCTGAAAGCCCTATGAAGCGGTATATAAGTCAAACTGCTATTGCTAACATCTAGTAATGATCGTAATTTTTTTCCATAACTTTGGTCGCAAACCGATTTGAGTCGTGGCTCGAATCCAATTTTGGAAATGTGGCTCTTCCCCAAAAAATAGTGCAGAAGGGGAAATTGGCCGCGGGGGAAAAAAATTGTGATTTGTTTTAGTCGGAACCCTATTTGGTTATGGTCAGAAGCGTTCGTGACCAGAGGTTCAAGTACAGGATTCCACAATTCACTGGAAAGTGTGATGGAAGGAGTCGCCTTCCCAACTGGCATTTTCCAAAAGAAGGAACAGGACAGCTTCCTTCCCATCTCCTTCCACTCTGGGCTTATTAAACGGGACAAAAGCAAGCATGGAAATAATAATGAAAAATAAAAATAAGAGTGGGAGGAAAGGAGTAGAATTGTCAGAGCAGAGGAAGCACATTAATAAGAGTGAGCCACTTTCAGGAGAACAATTTATGAATTGATAATGCCTCCTTTGGAAAAAAATGCTTCCGCAAACTGTTTGAGAGTCAACAAATAAATCTCGTAAGCGTGTCTGCCTGTCGCGAGACAATTTGTTTGCACAGCCTGCTGAGCCACGATGGATCAATTCTCCTCTCATGTAGATCAAACAAATCAGACAGTGGATGACTTTACAAAGTGGACGAAGGCGTAGTTTCGATAAGCTATTTACTGGTTCAGGATTTGTGCTGCAGACTGTACTTTTATCAAACTGCCCAGTTTACGTATAAATAGTAAGCTAAAGCCAGGCCAAAACCTACAGGCAGTCCTTGTGTTGCAACCAGTGGTGGCATTCAAATAATTTAACAACTGGGTTCTCTGCCCTAATGACCAGCTGTGTAGGCGTGGCTCAGTGGTCATGTGACCGTGTGGGCGAGGCCAACTCAACGTCACTCACATCGATGGGCGCTTTGCTTTAGCTGTTACAATGTTACAATAGAGCCGAGGTGGCGCAGTGGTTAGAGTGCTGTACTGCAGCCACTTCCAGCTGACTGTTATCTGCAGT